ATGGCATAAAATCACTGGCCGGTGGCCTCAAGCCATGGCCGGTGATGTGTGGGGATGCCTCACAAGGCATTCCCTGCCCCTCCAAGGCAAAACACAAGTGTTTGGTGCAAAACCAGACACAACACGGTCGAGTTGAGAGATCCTGAGGCAAGGCGCGCAACCGAGACCTCCGGGAACTCAAGACGAACACAAACAAGGGTAATCACCAAGTGTTCCAATGGTGTAACTTGACCAATGGAATGCAAGGCGAATGCAAGTGATTTCAAGTATGTAACTTGTGCAACCAAAGCATGCAAACATGGGATGATGTAATAACACTTGAATGGCATGCAAGGGATGGACTTACACTAATTGGACAGCTCTAAGTTAGGTCCAAAACAGTGGCCAAAAGCTTAAGAAAATGGGACCAAACACACATACACACATGCACATGTTAAGGCCTAACGCTTAAGCATCAAAGGACAACTTTTAAGCACACTTAAAGGGAATAATCATGGACATATGGCATGCATTATAAGCCTTGAAAATCATGCTATAAGAGGTGCCAAACCAACTTAAACAAGACAAACATTAGCATGCAAATGGTCCAAGCATTTAAAGCAAGTCAAAGGGGACTTAAACCATGGCTAAGCCAACCAAGCCTCATAAGGCCAAGAAGGCTTAAAACAGGTCCAAGGCAGACCTAGACCATGCAAAGGGACCCCCTAGATGGCATCTAAGTGGCTCAAATTCAAAAGTATGCACAAAGGCCAAACACATGGAGCACACAACATAAGCTTTTAAAGCATTAAAAAGGTGTCCAAGGCAAGCATACAAGCATGTCAAAGGGACTGAAATAGCATGGCAAGTGGTCTCAAACCACTGAAAATGATGCAAGTAATGCATACCACACAGTCACACACTTGAGGCCAACAAACCAAAAATGCAAAGGGGCTATATAATGCATGCGATGGTCGACCAAAATGGCTAAGGACAGACCTTAAACATGGCGAAATAAGCATGAAAGCTTCACAAAGCTAAGCCTAAAGCATGCTAGAACAATGGTTTACAACCTACGGCATGTCATGGCAACAAAATGGCATTACAAGGCATGTATGCTAAGCAAGCATGATGTACCAAAACCAACTAAAAATAGAGGCATATTATGACATAATAAGCACAAAAATCAACTAAGGCATGGTCAACAAGAGCCTAAGCTAGGTGCTCCCTCAAGAGGCAAAAATGGTCCTTTTCAAGGACAACAAGGAGAGGGGGTGGCCCTCTCCTTCTTGGGACCTCAAGGCACCATCCTAACCTCTGAAATCCCTCAAGATTTCAGTAGTGAAGAGACCTCAATGGCCCTTTCCTTCTTGGGACCTCAAGGCACCATCCTCACCTCTGAAATCCCTTAAGATTTCAGTGGTGAGGAGGCCCAAACACCAAGGTCTCGGAGCTCTCCCAAAATGGCACAAAATGGAGCCTTACAAGGCTTAAGAGGGGTCAAACAACCCCAAAACTTGAAGCAACCTTAAACAACTATTTAGAGGGCCTAAAAAAAGAACTTTTTTATGTTATACACTAAACACAAAAATAGTTGTAATGTAGGAAAAAATACAATGCAAGAAAGGGGTAAAAAGGAGCAAGTTTCTTACCCTTGAAGACCCTCTTCAACGATGGAGCTCCAGCAGCCTCTTTAGGTTGAAACTAGCTCCAAAACTCCAAGGACACTCCTTTGGCCCTCAATAACCAAGAGAAGGTGTAATAGTGGGTGTTTGTGTGCAAACGTAAGACCAAACACACACTAAACTAACTAGAAAGGGAAATATAGAGATGGAATAGATACAAATTCCTAACCCTAATATCAAAGCTCTCTAAAAATGTTGTCTAACCCTAATGCCAAGAGAGGAGCCCTCTTCTTATAGGAAACTCCCTCTTGTAAGGCTTCCAAAGCAAGCCATCCAAGAGGGAAATCCCTCCATACACGTGTATGGAGGGGAACAGAGTGGGTGCCAGCTACCACAGCTGGCACAAAATATCTACTAAAAGTAGATGAACAGTGATCGGCCATTCAAAATTGCCATTTTGGCAAAATAAATGGCCGACCGGCAACAAAGAGTGCCGACCGGAAATATACATTGCCGATGGCACAAAATCACTAGCCGGTGGCCTCAAGCCATGGCCGGTGATGTGTGGGGATGCCTCACAAGGCATTCCTTGCCCCTTCAAGGCAAAACACAAGTGTTTGGTGCAAAACCAGACACAACACGGTCGAGTCAAGAGATCCTGAGGCAAGGTGTGCAACCGAGACCTCCGGGAACTCAAGACGAACACAAACAAGGGTAATCACCAAGTGTTCCAATGGTGACGTCCAAGTCTTAAGGACGGTCAAAAATGGGGTGTCTACACCCTGTATCCTTAGTTGTGGAATTAGAATCTGTCATTTCCCTCGAGTTAATTTCAATTCAATTGAATTTTTGGATATTCTTATTTTGGCTTATAAATGTTCTTTTATTATGGCTTAGAAACAACTGTTAAGCAAATTGAAGAAGCATTCAAGGAGTTTACAACAAGAGAAGACGTTGCAATAGTGATGATCAACCAATATGTAAGTTTTTGTTCTACTCTGTCATATTTTTGATTGATTTTAATGCTCTTCTGTGGTATGACTTATGCATATGATTATAGTGCATGCTTATACCCTATCAGATGCATCATGAGCACCCTAAGATGCTTCTTTTTCTTTTTCTTCTTTATTTAAATTCTATCATGTGAATGAGAAAAAATATTAAAAGTTTATGATGAATGAGTATGGGTCATGTCACAGATTTAGCATGTTACATTAATGTTTTAGTCAATGGGACTTCATACTTTGGTGCTGAATTTACTAATGCTTCCTAAACTTCAAATTAAACCTTTATTGCAACATTCATATAAATCATAGAGTCCCACAATTATTATAGTCTGGTAGTAAGAGACGAATGAGTACATTGATTTTGTGGTGGTGTGATTTTTCATTTGTCATTTGATTCTGTTGATAAAACATTGTCTAATGCAACAATGTTCATCTTCAGGTTGCAAACATGATAAAGTTTTTAGTAGATAGCTACAACAATCCAATTCCAGCAATTTTGGAGATTCCTTCCAAGGACCATCCTTACGATCCAACACATGATTCTGTTCTTTCAAGAGTGAAGTACTTCTTCTCCGACTTTCCCATTTTATGTGTTGTATGCTTGAATGTTCGTTCTTTCTTTATTTATTTCTAATTTGGATTTGCAGATTCTAACAGTTTGTGGGGTTACTTTCTCTGTCTCTCTATCTCCCCCTTAAAATTTTAATTTCAGTTCAACTTTTACTATTAGATCACCAATTTCAATATTTTAAGCTTACTAGTATTGGTAATGAGTTTTTGAAAGTCATAAAACATTTTTTTCCCTGGGTCAGTTTAGTGAAAAGGTAGATCTTTTGTGGAATTGATTAAGACTACACCATAATGGTAATGGGATAATTTAATCGCCTAGTACGCATCTTTTAACATTTTTGCTTTATTATCCATCTCACTAGCTGGTGGGGTAACTTGGTATTTTAGTAAAGAGTATATTCCCTTGCGTTAATATGGAAATTTTAGGCGTCACATGACCATTAATTTGTTATTAATGTAACATTTTTCAGGTTTTTATTTTTTTGGTCAAATTGATGATATGAAATATATGAAGCTTGACACTTTATCTGTCGATTTTGTGTTTCAGATGCTAGTTGATGATATTGGTGATGTAACAATTACTAATGATGGTGCTATAATACTCAAGATGTTATATGTTGAGCATCCTGCTGCAAAGGTGGAAGAATAAAGCATCCATTTGGCTGAGGTTCAAGATCGAGAAGTTGGAAATGGGACAACTTCTGTGGTTATTATATCAGTCAAGTGATCCAGCAGATAATGATGCATGGAAAGATAGTGACCGAGAAGCTTGACACTATTTTTTTTTTTTCCTAGCCCAGTTGAATGGCTCTGAAGAACATTAAGAGTTTCAAGCATAAGAAATGACAGAAAAAAATTAGAAATTCACTTGGTTGAGTTTATTTTTTAGTTTCTTGATGATAGAATTTACTTGGATTTAATTTGTTCAATGTAGTCAGATTTTTGGAAAGATCATAAATCATAACGATGCACTATTTATAAATGTCATTGAAAACTATTTGCGACGATAATAAGATGGTGGCTAATACATTGTAGGTAATTTTTATTCTTTTTTTGCGACGGCAAAACATCAGTTGCTATAAGTAGGTTAGGCGGTCGCAAATAATTTGCGACTGCTATTTTGCGTTCACAAAAAAATATTTGTCACCCCCACATTCGCCACCCCCATTTGCCGTTGCGTAGGCCGCCGCAAAAAGTCTTTTGCAACTGTATTTTTATTATTTGCGACGGTTTGTAACGGTCGCAAAAAGTACTTTTTTTAGTAGTGTATGGGTAATTATTGGGTAGTCTCATACTATGACCGTGTAGTATTTCACGATATTATGATTGATAAAAAAAAAAGGATATTATAATTTTGTATTAGATGATTAAGAAACATAAATGGGTATAATGAATGATGATTGGTGAAGGAGTATAAACACATGGTAGTTCGGGAGGCTGTTGATTTTATTTGATTCTAATATAAAACTATCGGAGTAGGCTTCTCTCCGGTCCAAATCGGACTGGAGGGTTTTGTTGGGCCTCTGTGGGCCCATCACAGAGTATCGTTCAATATGTAGAACTCCTGAGTGCTTCTTCCCTGTAAAAAATCACGTTGATCAGATATCAATATCCACTTAATCGAATATCTATATCCAGTCGATCGAATATCGATGTTCACTTAATCGGATTACATTTGTGTCAACGGTATTTTTAAAATAAATTGTTGATACAAATATTATCCGATCAAGTATCTATTGATATTCGATCAATGTGATTTTTTACATTGATGAATTACTCAACGAGCCTTACATAAAAAATAGTTTGGATCATCAATGCGGATTCCGTGATGAACTTACAAAGACCCAATAACATTCTCCAATAAAAAAAATCCAATTGAAGAGGAGACTGCTCCAAAACTACCTATGATGACATATCTTTGATTGATTCTCCCCTTTTAATGGTCATCATTTACAATGTGTCCTAGTCAACCCTGAATACTGTATTTAGAGTCCGCCAAGTGAGTCTGTAACACTTTTATACACCATTTAAAAAGAAAAAATCAATTACACAAATATTTTTAAAATTAAAAAAGATGAAATTTAATTGTTGTTTTATATTTTCACTGTTTATACACGCACAAAGAAAATACCATACAAAAACTTAGAATTATAATATTAAATAAAAATTGAACTAGTTTCTGACATTTGGAAGTTGTTGATTGACTTTGATAATTCATTACTCAAGTTTTATTGGATTCTAATATAAAACTACCCATGATGACATATCTATGATTAATTCTCAACTCTTTAAATGGTCATCATTTACAATGTTATAGGGGCTAGCCTTGAATACAATATTCAAAATCCTAAGTGAACCTTAATATGGAGTCTTAATATTTTTATACACCATTTAAAAAGATAAAAACAATTAAAAAAATATTATAAAAATTTAAAAAGATAAGAATTCTATATCTGTTTATGCATTCATTATTAACTCTGAAAAATAGCATTGGCCCACTCTACATGACAAATTAGGTGCAAGCTTCTCTATATATGGATGATTATTGGGTAGTCTCAAACTAAGGCTACATGGTATTTTATGATATTATGATTGGTGGAGGAGGTGGGGTATTATGATTTTGTGTTTGATGATTGAGAAATATGAGGGGGTCTAATGAATGATGATTGGTGAAAGAGTATAGACACGAGGTAGATCGGGAGACTGTTGATTTTATATGATTCTAATATAAAACTACAGAAGCAGGCTCCTTTCCAGTCCAAATCGGACTAGAGGGTGTTGTTGGGCCTCCATGGGCTCATCACGGAGTATCGTTCAATATGTATGGCGCGTCGAGTACTTCCCTGTAAAAAATTACGTTGATCGAATATTGATATCCACTTAATCGGATTACATTTGTGTCAACGATAAATATGATTTTTAAAATGAATTGTTGACACAAATATTATTCGATCAAGTATTTATTGATATTTGATCAATGTGATTTTTTATAGAGATGAAATACTCAATGAGCCTTACATAGTGAATGGTTCGAATTATCGATGCGGGTTCCATGATGAACCTACGAAGGTTCAAAAACATTTTTCAATAAAAAAAACCCTATTGAAGAGGAGATTGCTCCAAAACTACCTATGTTGACATATCTTTGATTGATTCTCCCCCTTCTAATGGATCATTGACAATGTGTCGTGGTCAATAATTTTATACGCCATTTAGAGTCCCCTCAGTGAACCTTAATATGGAGTTTTTAACATTTTTCTACACCATTTGAAAAGAAAAAAAAATTAATAATTTTTTTTTAAAAATTTAAAAAGATGAAATTTAGTGTTGTTGTTTTATATTTTCATTATCTATATAAGCACAAAGAAAATACTATACAAAAATTTAGAATTATAATATTAAATAAAAATTGAACTAGTTTCTGACATTGGGTGGTTGTTGATTGACTTTGATGATTCATTACTCAAGCTTTATTGGATTCTAAAATAAAACTATCCATGACGACATATCTATGATTAATTCTCATCTCTTTAAATGGTCATCATTTACAATGTGCTAGGGGCCGGCCTTGAATACAATATTCAAAATCCTAAGTGAACCTTAACTACGGGTGTAATTTTGGCCTGGCTCGGCCCATTCGAGCTTGGATTGGGCCGGGCCCATATCGGGCCTTGCAGGCTCTCGTCAAAAATTGGGGCTGAGCCGCCCCACGGGCCAAAAAACTAGGCCTTAGCCCAGGCCCAGGGGTATTCGGGCTTTGGGTGGGCTAGTGGGCCGGGCCCATGGGCTCGGGCTTGGGCTGGCCTAAACAAATTTTTTTTTTTATTTTTTCCACCAAAATTTTATTATTTTTCATTAAAAATAACACTAGGCATCTGGTGGGCTGGGCTTCGGGGCGGGCTTTTGGGCGGGCCTTGAACGGGCCCATGGGCCGGACCGAGCTTCAAAACGATGGACCAAAATTACACCCCTAACCATAACATGGAGTCTTAATATTTTTATATTTAAAGAGATAAAATCAATTAAAAAAATATTATAAAAATATAAAAAGATAAGAATAAGGATAAATTATAAATATACTCGCCGAGATTTTTTTAAAATATAGGTTTCCCTTATGATTTAGAAAATTATAAATACTCCATTGTCAGAATTTTTTATTTAACAGAATTAACTAAAAAAATAAAATTCATAATTAATCTCTTATATAATAATAAAATTACCTGAATTATTAATTAAAACATATTTCTAACATCATTAAAAATTGTTAATTGAATTCATGATTTATTGGCCTCATTTGGAAAGTTGGCTATTTTAGTAGGCTATTTTAATTTTTGATAAATTACAAACACACCTCCAAAGGTTTACTTAAATTACAAATTACTCCATGTGATTCTAGAAATTACATTATGCCCCATAAGGTTTCTAATTTCATAACAAATAGGTCATTTTATTAATAAATCATTAAGTTAATTAACAGTTTTTAATAATGTTAAAATTTTATTTCAATTAATAATTCAGATAATTTTATTATTGTATAGGTGAATAATTAAAATTTCACCTTTTCAATTAATTTTGTTAAATAAAAAATTCTGACAGAGAGGTATTTGTAATTTTTCAAACCATAGGGGGAATTCGTATTTTAAGCAAACCTCAGGGGGTGTATTTGTAATTTACCCTTTAATTTTTGGCTATTTTAATAGGTTACAATATTTGTGTTTGGGAATATGGTGGATTTTTTTGTAGTTGGATGTGATGCTTGTGAGAGAAAAAGTAAAATAATTATTGGTTTAATGTGACATTTTATCTTATTGGCTATTTTAACTTATTTTGTCTTTTTGTAAATTTTAGTCCAAAAAGCAGAAAATAGCTTTTGCTAAATAAGACCATTAATAAAAGAGGTGATTTGTTATGAAATTAAAACCTCAGGGGATGGAATATAATTTTTACAACCATAGGAATGATTCATATTTTAATCAAATCTCAAAGGATATATTTATAATTTAACCTAAAATTCCAATGTTTTTTTTTTATTTTTTATATATATTATCACCGTTTATATACACACAGAAAATACTACACAAAAATTTAGACTTATAACATCAAACAAAAATTGAGCTAATCGTGCCACAATATCAATTAAACATTACTGTTCGTGTATTTCTATTTGCAAAATTGAACCAATATCTCTTTATTGAGATTGAATTAATTCTCTACAAGTGTGTTCCGTTTTTTCTTTTCTCTGTCATGTATAGATAAATAATTTCTAAGAAGCATAATTAAATAAACAATCCCATATATCCACATGCTAACAAGCAACAGACCTTGGATTTGACCCAATTAATAGTCTTATAACTAACTATGCCTTAGGGCGTGGTGAAGGGAAGGTTAGGGGTTCGAATTGATAGAGCAGCAGCAACCCTTTTAGTTGTAATTTAACTTTACTAACACTAACTAACATCCTACAAAATATCAAGACCTAAATGTTCAATTTTAGAATGGTCAATTGGGTTGAAGAGAAATTTGGTAATGTAAAATTAATTACTTTGCGCCCTCCATTAATGAGAATAATTTTATTTTGGGTTTGGTATTAACATTCCATTTGGATTAAGGGTTTGGTGAGAAATAAAAAAAAAAATAGAAAGAATGAGGTTACTTACCTTATTAATCATCCAAACAAGTAATCACTTGTTTGGATGATTAATGAGGTGAGTAATTGTGAAAAATGAATAGAAATGGTGATAAAATAAAATCACACCGAACTTAAGTTTTTTTTTTCTCACTAGAAGGGGTGAGATTTGGTGAGAAACCCAAATTACATTTTTTAAACATAGTTAATTTAAATAAAAGGTGAAAAACCACAATTATTTCCTTTCTTTTTCTTATCTCTCAATTCAAACGGAGAGTAAGCATTGGGCTAATTTTGATATCTAAAGTAATTGGGTTCTTCCACTAATATATTTGAGTTTGGTGTTGGGGTCATCTCTTTCAATGAGGTCTGACAAAATTATGTTAAATTTTAAACGGACCCTATTTTTTAGTCGTAATCTGGCGGGTCAAAACCGCCATTTCCCAGAGCCGGCCAACACATAGCAAATAAATACAATCCACCAACACATAGCAAATAAATACATTTTCTTTGCTCGATGGGGCTTCCAAGCTTAAGCTTGAGCATGCCATGGCTAGTTCACAATTTGCATATTCATCTAATACTCTGGCTTTACTGCTACCATATCCAGCTCCTGGCTAATGAGGAATGAGACGGACCGGCTTTCATTGCTGGCAATCAAGGGCAAAATAATTGAGGATCCACTGCATGCTTTGAGCTCCTGGAATGATTCCATCCACTTCTGCCAATGGCAGGGCGTTATGTGTGGCCGCAGGCATCAGAGGGTCACTGCCTTGGACTTACAGTCCCGGGAACTGGTGGGATCAATATCACCACACCTCGGGAATTTAATCTTTCTGAGGGAATTACTACTTCAGAACAATAGCTTTGGCAATGAAATTCCGCCGGAAATTGGTTGTTTGCCAAGGCTGCAGATTTTGCGGCTGAACAACAATTCAATTGGTGGCCGAATTCCAGTAAATATATCTCGTTGCACTAACCTCATTGAAATCGATTTTTCTTACAATGGGCTGGTAGGAGAAGTTCCTGTGGACCTCGAATCCTTGTCGAAGCTCGTGATAGTAATTATAGAGGCCAACAATCTTACAGGGAGTATATCTCCTTTCGCGAATTTGTCATCTCTTCGTGGACTGTCTTTGTTTGATAAAAAATTTCATGGCAGCATTCCTGATGGTTTTGATCGGCCGAAGAATCTTCAGGAGCTCGGACTCAGCATGAACATGTCGTCTGGCGCCATTCCTCCTTCGCTTTTCAACCACTCTTCTCTCACAATGTTTGATGTCTCTACTAACCAAATACAGGGAAGTCTTCCCTGGGACTTGGGCATCACTCTTCCCAATATTGAATCCTTCAGCATTGTTTTTAACCAATATACAGGATCAATTCCGGTTTCAATATCGAATGCATCTAAACTCCATGACCTAGAAATGCCTCAAAACAACCTTACTGGAAAGGTTCCTAATTTAGCAAGGCTGCAAAACCTCGAGTGGCTAAGCATTTTCGACAATCAGCTTGAATCCGAGGAAGATGATGACTTGAACTTTATATCTTCTTTGATCAATGCCACCAATTTACAGTTTTTGGCCGTGAATTATAACATGTTTTACATCAAGTTTCCAGAATTCATCGGTAATCTCTCGAGCAATCTTCAATTTTTGTATCTAGACCACAATTAGATATTCGGAAGCATTCCACCAGGGATTGTAAATCTTGTTGGCTTGCAGAGTTTGGAAATGCAGGTTAACCAACTCACTAGTACTATTCCAAGTGAGATTGGAAAGCTTCAAAATCTACACAAATTGTATCTCACCGACAATTCATTGTCTAATAACATTCCATCTTCCCTAGGAAATTTGAGTTTGTTAAGTGAACTTGCTTTAGGAATCAATAAATTTCAGGGAAACGTTCCTCAAAGTCTAGGGAATTGCAACAATTTGCAATTGTTGCATCTTTCTCAAAACAACCTTAATGGTACAATACCATGACCAGTTATTTCCATCTCATCCTTATCTATATATCTAGACCTGTCCCAAAACCAATTGAGTGGTTCTCTTCCCATGGAAGTTGCAAAGTTGATAAACCTTGGTTACTTGGATGTCTCTAAGAACCTATTATCGGGCGAAATTCCGAGCACTTTGGGTAGCGGCACAAGCCTGGAAACGCTACATTCAGGGAACAACTTTTTCAACGGAACCATTTCTTCTTCTTTGAGTTTCTTGAGAGGCCTTAGTGAGTTGGATCTCGCGAATAATAGCTTGTCTGGTGAAATTCCAGTGTACTTGGAGAGCTTTATTTTGTTGCAAAATTTGAATCTATCTTTTAATAATTTTGAAGGTGTAGTACCAACACAAGGTGTATTTAGTAATGCAAGTAAAATATCAGTAGTGGGACACAATAAGCTCTGTGGGGGGTGTAGCTGAATTGAAGCTACCTAAATGCAACTTCAAAGTGGATGAAAATAGGAGATCAAACAATGCCTTAACTTTAGCACTCTCTTTACTCTTTGGGCTTGTAGGACTAGCTTTCGTGGGGTGTGTTCTCTATCTTTGCTGGTTCAGAAATAGAAGAAAAGATACTCCTTCAGATTCATCAAAAAATTCATTCTTCAGGGTGTCTTACCAAACTCTTGTTAAAGCCACTGATGGCTTCTCATCTTTCAATTTAATCAGTGCTGGTAGTTTCGGGTCTGTATACAAAGGAGTTATTGATGGAAGAATTGTCGCTGTGAAGGTAATTAACCTTTTGCGACATGGAGCTTCGAAGAGTTTCGTATCCAAATGTGAGGCACTAAGAAACATCAGACATCGGAACCTTGTCAAGGCACTAACGGCATGTTCGACAATAGATTGTCAAGGTCATGACTTCAAGGCTCTGGTTTATGAGTTCATGGTCAATGGGAGCCTTGAAGAGTGGTTACATCCAAATTGCAGTGAAGATTTATCAAATGAAGAGTTTAAGAAGCTAAACCTTCTTCAGAGACTAACTATTATCATTGATGTTGCTTGTGCCCTGAATTATCTTCACAACCAGGGCCAACCCCCAGTAGTCCACTGCGATCCTAAGCCCAGCAACATTCTTCTGGACAAAGATAAGACTGGGCATGTTGGTGATTTTGGGTTAGCAAAATTTTTTGCTGACCATGCCACCCATGGCTTGTTTGGAAATGAAACAAGCTCTATTGGCATAAGGGGAACAATAGGTTATACTACTCCAGGTGAATATGCCTTCATTTATTCTTAGTTGTTTCATGCACCAAAAGGTGTAGAGAAAATTGCACGTGTGATTTGGGCTACACAATATTTTTTCGTTGCACAGTTATCTGACTTTTTCTGTTTATGGAACATTTCGGTCTTTTATATCCAAAATTTTCCCCCTTACAATTGCATTTTTGCTTACAGAATATGGTGTGGGATGTGAGGTCTTGGCATACGGTGATATCTACAGTTTTGGCATCCTTGTGTTAGAAATGTTTACTGGGAAGAGACCCACCGATGAAATGTTTAAAGATGGGTTAAGCCTCCATAGCTTTGTGAAAGAGGCTTTGCCCTGCAATGTATCAGAGATTTTAGACCCAACACTTTTTCAGATCGAAGGGGAAGAAGAAGAAAGCTTCATAAGAGGTGAAAAGGTAGTGGAGTGCTTGAGTTTGATACTTGAAATTGGAGTCAATTGTTCTTTAGAATTGCCTAGAGAAGGAATGGACATTCATGATGTTCAGCTAAATTGCATTTCATCAAAGACACCCTTCTAGGATCTGAAATACAATGAAAGAGATGAATTTATGAGGGAATCAATTGGAATGTAATGCTTTTGTCGTAATAATATCCTTCCTGGAAGAGATTACATGTTTAATAACAACCTTACTTCCAGATTGGATGAGCCAAATCTACATGTAGCACATTTAGTGAAAAGTAATGTTACTTATTCAAAGAAAGTATTCGAATTTGAAATGTGTCGATCGGATTTATTTTGGGTGTGATTCTCATCTCATTACATCAAATTTAAATGTACATCACAAATTCAAAATTAATATATGTTCTTTGCATGTGATTTTTTTTCGTTCAAAATGTAAATAATACATGACGAAGGGTTCGCATTGAAACAAAATTCAAAGTATGGAGATCAAATTATTTAAATTAAAATTAGCTCATAATAGAGAGATCAATTGTATAAATTACCACTTTTTTTTTACTACAATCCTATTTTATTTTATTCGCAAATCCCTAACCGTGTATTGGTCTGGCGAAATCAATCTGTGAGTTCTTCTTATTCACTCTCTTTATTTGTTTGTCAAATATTAGTAATGTAAGACTATAGTTGTTTTCTCTAATTTCTTTGCCATAATTTATTTGATGATATAATTGTTTGGCCCTAATTATCAGTTAAGGCTATAACTGTTTAAGTTACTTAGCACTGTTAATAATGGTGTTTCACTGTTTTAGTTGTTGCCCTTAGTTTAGCCCTAATTGTAGTTGTTGCCCTAATTTGTGTTGATGTGTTGTTCTTTCCTTGAATTCAATTTATTGTTATAAATGCTTATATGTGTATATGCAATAAATCAGTTCTAATTCTATGCTTGTTGCTATTTTTCACTGGTTTGGTGCATCAATGGAAATCTCTAATCTTTGTTGTGCTCTAATTTATGAAAACACATTATTTGCAGATATTAGTCATTGTGAATTTGTGTGGATTTTTTATTATATAACCATCCATCCTAGGAATTATATTTTTGGACATGAAGAAAGGAAAAAGAAACAAAAAGTAGAAAATTTTATTCAATCTTAATCGGGAGTGCTTGCTAAATTTCTTAATAGCAAGAAACAAATAGAAGGGCCTCTCGAACCCCTTAAAACTCAGGGCTGGCCCGAACTCCTTCACACCAGTTTGAATACACTTGCATTTTATTTTTATGGGAACAATAGTAGCTTTATCTTTTTTCAAATATATATATATACACACACTTCTGTGAAACAAACAAACTCATCTAAAAGGTAAATAAACTCGGATCACACAAGTACATTACATCATCATTCGCACACGGACTAAATAGGAAATAATCTCATAATCAAATTATTTGTACACTTTATGACATATAGATTCCCAGTTTGAAGATAAAAGTACATGCATAATCCTCTTGCATTTTCACGGAGTGTTTACCATTTCTCACCGCTTTGACAAGCATCAAGCTTTATTGTCCTATAATTTAGTTACCAAAGAGCAAAAATGAGGGCCTAAATATGAATTCATTCTAGATTGGTTCAGGGGTTAACATAATTCAAGGAGTTCAAACACATAAAAGCATTATTAATTATTTAAATCACCATTAATCCAATTGAATCTTTTAGATTACCCACACAAGGGCATAACGGCCAATATTTTAATGCTAAACAAAGAGAAAAAATGTAATGGATTTATTACAAAATAACATGACAAGAATTGCAACACTTCATACTCCTTGGACTAGTAGGATTGCTTTGGGCTCTCTTATTAATGTAATTAGAGCCTCTTTGATTGACATTAGAGTATTGATTGAGATCGTATCATAATGGTAAAGTAAGATTGAACCAAAAATATTGATTCAAATAATTGTTCTATGAGCAATCTTCACTCCTTTACCTTTTTCTCTCTCCACATTTTGAATTTGGATGTGAGGATAGAACTATTGGAAAGTTTGTTTCAGGGTTTCAATTTAGACAAAAGCATGACCCATAATGGAGTTCGGATGAGAAAGTTATGCCCGTTTGAAGTTTGAGTACCTGAGTTGTGTGCATGGTCTGCTCAAGTGAACCTTTGACTGCCCAAGCGGTCTATTCGAGATTATAAGCTTAATTTCACAGCTTGATCAATGGATTGATAGCTTAAGCTGTTTGTTCAAGGTCAACACTTTAAATCCCTTTTTTGGCCAAATCTTTCACTTTCTCTCTCTTTTCTCTCCCTCTTCTCCATATTCGAAACCCTAGACCTCCAAACCTTGCTCTAATCCTTGAGGTAGAGATACTCTTAATTTTGTATATCAATTTGGGTTTACGCCTAGTAGGTCAACAATGGAGGTGATCTATCTTTTGAAGAGAGTAATAGAAAAGTATAGAGAAAAGAAAAGAGTTATTCATATGGTTATCGATCTTGAGAAAACATATGATAGAGTGCCTCAACATATAATCTGGTAGGTGCTAGAGAAAAAAGGGGTGACAAAAGGTTACATTGATGTGATTAGGGATATGTATGAAGATGTGGTGACCACTATTAGATCGCTTGCTGGAGAGACGAGTGAATTTCCAATTACTGTAGGGTTACACCAAGGATCAACCTTAAGTCCTTATCTTTTCGCTTTAGTTATAGATGAGTTGATGCGTAATATTCAGGATGATGTGCCATGGTGTATGCTTTTTGCAGATGATATTGTATTAGTGGATGAGACCAAAGAAGGAGTTAACACTAAGTTGGAGATTTAGAGAAAAACACTTGAATCTAAAGGATTTAGGATAAGCAGAACTAAGACAGAGTATATGGAGTGTAATTTTAGTAACAGCCACAATGGAAGCAGAGGAGAAGTGAAGATTGAGAACCAAAAACTACTTAAGAGTGAACATTTTCCTTATTTATGATCGATTATTACAACGACTGAAGAGATTGGAGTGGATGTGGTCCACAGAATTAATGTAAATAGTGCATCTGGAGTAATATGCAATAAACGAGTACCGATTAGACTAAAAGGGAAGTTTTATAAAACGGCTATTAGACTAGCAATGTTGTATGGGATGAAATGTTAGACAACTGAGAAACAACATCTAGATAAGATGATTGTTGCTAAGATGAGGATGCTAAGGTGGATGTGTGGCAAGACTAGAAAAGACAAAGTTAGGAATGAGTATATTCGAGAATAAGTAAGAGTAGTACTGATAGAAGACAAGTTGAGAAAGAATAGATTGAAATGGTTTGATCATATACAACGGAGACCAATAGAGGCAGTAGTGAAAAGGTACGATACAGTGATGGTAGATGGTAATGTTAGGGGAAGGGGTAGACTTGGATTGACGTGAACTAGTGTAGTAAATATAGATATAAATCTCGTTGATTTGACTAATGAAATGGCTTTAGATAGAGTCGAGTGGAGAAGAAGGATTCATGAACCAACCCCATTTGATGGGAGTTAAGGCTTGGTTTGGTTGGTTGGTTTGGACTTTGAATCATGAATTGAGATGAAACTTAGTAAAAATGTGTATGAAGATTGATTTTGAATTGTTTTGGAATTTTATATTGAAATGAAGGAAACTGAATATTGTTGAGAATGTGGAAATTAGAAATCTTTTGATTATTGGCTATGCTAATTTTTTATTGAAGAAATGAATGAACCATATGTAAATTGACACACTTACAAACTCATGCATCATATTGCATTCTTCATGATTTTGGTTCCACAATTATTAAAATCTCTTAGATACTTGGAATTGTTGAAAGGCGGTAAATAACATGTGAGTCCAAGTAGTGAGTCGGGTTTGAAATGTGATGAGTATTGTATAGGTACCCGCGCAGAAAATAAGGTGTCTAATTGCCCTGTCTTGAGCTTATCGTCAGAAGAATGTGAGAAAATATTTTTTGGTGCCCACTGGCCCTGCTAGTTTTAGAGTCGGCAAATGTGAGGGCATTTTCAGTATACAAATCTATATATATATATATATATGTGTGTGTGTATGTATGTATGTATGAGTGTTTTGGTCAGGGGACTCTCTCTTGGGATATCATAGTATATTTACCACCCCTGCTTTTAGAAGAATGATTATCTAATACCCTGCATGGTCATTTAAACTTATAAAGAAGATTTACTTTAATATAATTTCTATACTTGCATAGCATATCACCTGTATTTCAATTAATTATATAATTTGTTAAATATACTTGTAGACGTCCCCGAACGTCCCGGGAGGAATGAATCCCCCCCGTTTTGTTCATTTGGGCTTACTACAGTTCAAGACTCAAATATCACGGTCTTGTATCTAATCTCGCAGAGTGCAATGCAAGACTGATAAATCATCAAAGAGTCTAGATCCGGTAAATCATTTTTTTTGAAAACAGATTTTTTTGAAAGAAGTGCTGTAGACACCCCATTTTTGACCGTCCTCAAGACTTGGACGTCACCGTTTGAACACTCGGTGATTATCCTATTAATTGAGGTGGTATCATAATGGTAAAGTAAGATTGAACCAAAAATATTGATTCAAATAATTGTTCTATGAGCAATCTTCACTCCTTTACCTTTTTCTCTCTCCACATTTTGAATTTGGATGTGAGGATAGAACTATTGGAAAGTTTGTTTCAGGGTTTCAATTTAGACAAAAGCATGACCCATAATGGAGTTCGGATGAGAAAGTTATGCCCGTTTGAAGTTTGAGTACCTGAGTTGTGTGCATGGTCTGCTCAAGTGAACCTTTGACTACCCAAGCGGTCTATTCGAGATTATAAGCTTAATTTCACAGCTTGATCAGTGGATTGATAGCTTAAGCTGTTTGTTCAAGGTCAACACTTTAAATCCCTTTTTTGGCCAAATCTTTCACTTTCTCTCTCTTTTCTCTCCCTCTTCTCCATATTCGAAACCCTAGACCTCCAAACCTTGCTCTAATCCTTGAGGTAGAGATACTCTTAATTTTGTATATCAATTTGGGTTTACGCCTAGTAGGTCAACAATGGAGGTGATCTATCTTTTGAAGAGAGTAATAGAAAAGTATAGAGAAAAGAAAAGAGTTATTCATATGGTTATCGATCTTGAGAAAACATATGATAGAGTGCTTTCATTGCTGGCAATCAAGGGCAAAATAATTGAGGATCCACTGCATGCTTTGAGCTCCTGGAATGATTCCATCCACTTCTGCCAATGGCAGGGCGTTATGTGTGGCCGCAGGCATCAGAGGGTCACTGCCTTGGACTTACAGTCCCGGGAACTGGTGGGATCAATATCACCACACCTCGGGAATTTAAGCTTTCTGAGGGAATTACTGCTTCAGAACAATAGCTTTGGCAATGAAATTCCCCCCGGACAACGATTGAA